AGCTGCCTCTCGACCAACACCCCCAGGTCTTATTCTGCCGGGCAGCTTTCCAACCACTCGTCCCCAAGCCTGTAGTGTTGCATGGGGTTGTTGTGACCAAAGTGCAGGACCTGGCACTTGGCCTTGTTGAATCTCATACAGTCGGTCTCAGCCATTGATTCAGCCTGTCCAGATCCCTCTGTAGAGCCTTCTTACCCTCAGGCAGATCAACACTCCCACCCAGCTTGTCGTCATCTGCAAACTTACTGAGGGTGCACTCGATCGCCTTGTCCAGATTGTCAATAAAGATGTTAAACAATACTGGCCCCAAAACTGAGCCCTGGGGAACACCACTGGTGACCAGCTGCCAACTGGATTTAACTCCATCCACCACCACTCTCTGGGCTCGGCCAGCCGGCCAGTTTTTCACCCAGTGAAGGATATTCCTGTCCAGGCCATGAGCTGCCAGCTTCTCCAGGAGAATGCCGTGGGAGAAGTCTGATGTGTATTTACTGCTATGTAAAAGAAGTGGCAGTTGCAGAGTGAAGCACCCTTTCTGAAGTATATCTTCCCTTGAGAAGATGCTAGTTGGTCACTGTTCTAGTAGACGTGGATAAAAAGCTTTTAACTGCAATATAAACAGTGGCAGAAAAATAACATATTTCCAAATAATTAATTTTCTTCTCTCTGGAGAAATATTTGAGCTCAACAATGATAAATACAGTCTAAGAAAGAGATTTCCTGAAATTTTCTTGTCTTTCCACCCCCAGATTTCTCCAGGGATATGTGCTTGACCCCAAGGGAGAGCACAACCAAAGGGCTTTGAAACAGAAATAAAAATGAAGAATAGATGTAGGAACTTTTAAAATGAAACAGGATTTAAAGCAACTTCACTGAGGATAATCCTTTCCCACAGTCTCTAATGCTGGAAAATTCTCATTTCAGTTCCCAAGCAGTTTTCAGACATTCTCCTAGACATTGACAGGGGAAAAAATTGGGATTGTAATCTACTTTTTTCCTCTTAAAAGCAGAAACAATATTAACGGCCAGTCATTGAACTGTCCCCTTTAATACCTGCCCCCTGGGAACCATCAGCAGGTGAGTCAGATGAAGTCTCTTAAAGGCAGCTGTAATGCCTTTCTTGGAACTACACTTCTAACATAGGTTAGTGAGAGAGAATCTGCAAATTGTCATTACTGGGTTCCTGTCATATTTGTTGTATAAAGCAGATAAACATTTTGTTGCTAATAAAATGAGGCTCAGCAAGTAACACAGCTTTGGATTTGGGCGTTTTTAAAGCAGTTAGAAGCAGGAAGGAGGGACCTCACTGATAAGAAAGTGAGAGTAAGAGAATATCAGTCCTAGGAGAGGGCTTGACAAAAACAGTAGGGACTAAGGCCTATAGGATTCACAACACTAAATTTAAAGAAGTCCATTGAAATAAGGGAGCTAATTTTCAGAAGGTTCAATATTACTTTTGGCAAAGGAAAAATCAATGAAACTGCTTTCTGAAGGCTGAAATGGAGCCACCTGGAAAGGCTTCGGGGCTGGAAGCTTGGTGAGAAATTTAACAATTTTGGGATTAGAAAGGGAAATGGAACTGTGATGCAGAGTCACACAGGCTGCTAAGAATATAAGGAACAGGAGATAGGGAAGAGGAGAAAGAAAGAAGAAATGTAGGGGGTAGGGGTAGCTTACAGAATGCACAGATATAGATATATATAGGGATAATATACCTGGAGGAGGGGGAGAGGGTAGTCATCAGAAGAGGGCTGCAGGAAGAGCCTGAGGGTTATGTGGAGGTGGGTAGCCACCTCAAAGCAAAACAGGTGGCTGATGAGGGAGGGCAAGGAAGCTACGTAACAGCAGCTCCTCTAGCATGAAGAAGCATTGAGCTCTATCAGTCAGTGCAACAGCACAATAGGGTCTCACCAGTGT